CTCCTGGGTGGTGTCTTCTACAAGTGTTACACTTGAGATCTTTCCACACCCTAAGTTTATGTTGAGTTGCCAGAGGCTTTCTTCTTTTCAAGTGTGAAGCACTACAAGTTCAAATCAAAGGTTTCTTTCCCTTAATAACTGGATTGATATTTGAACTAGAATTGGATTGATCTTCAATATCTCGGTGGATATTTTGGTTGTCTGTTTCGTTTTGGACAACAAGAGTGAAATACGATATTTCAATATGAACCGTTGTGTGTCCATTGTTTGGAACTTGGTTATCTTGTCCGCGAGCAGTTTCTTGACTCATTCTACAAATAGTAGATATTCCTTTATCAGGATGCTTTATTTGAATATGCAAGTTAACAGACGTCATGAGGGTACACAACAGTGGCGTTGATTGTGAACAATCAAGAGAGATGGGGAGAAACGATAGGGTTTATTAATTCTAAACGCTTGCGTTTAGGGTCAATGTCCGGATCGTGTTGAGTCCACACGGAGATCTTTGATATCAGCTTCACAGATGTTCAACATAAATCGTTTCTTCCGAGTCATCTCACTTCTGTGCGACTTTGCGATGTAAATAAGTTTCGTCATTCGCAATGCAATGCGTGCGTTGATAACGTATCAAAAAGTTATACATATTTCGTTCATTCTTTCGTCTATTGAAGAGTAAGAAAATTCTACTAGAGTCTACGCTCAATATGATTTTAGTATTAATCAGTTGTTATCTAATGAGAATTTAATATAGTTAATATTTATCAAATAAATTCCCATTACCTTTCCTGGAGCAGAGGGATGCGAGAGTCGTGGATGTCATTGACATTTTTTACCCAAAATATATATAATATATATTTTTAAATCAGACTTTGATCCGAAGATCGGGTTTAAAATCATTTGCTCCGATACCAAATTGTAACACCCTAATCTGTCCAAGTCTGCAGCCCTTGTCGGACTAAAGTATTAACTTGGTAATCATAAAATTTAACACATTTCAAATAACTTTATTCGTCATAAATAAAATTTCATACATAACTATAGAAAATACAGAGTGTTTAATAATAACGCGGAAGCGACTTTAAAACAACATAATCATTTATTTTATCAATAAATCCACCACGACTGTCTCGCCCATTCCGCTTCCAAGAATATGCCAATCATTCATTCTATCTACCTGCGTGTAGCAAATAAAACACACTACATGCTCAGCACTGAAGCTGAGTAATCATATCTAAAGCGTCGAACATTCACATAAATTGAATCTCAATTCATAATTAACCATTTGATATCATGCACACAATATATAATTCAAGCATTCATGATATTCTCATTATTTTATTCCAAGTCATTTCGATATTCAATATCTCAATAATGCTCTTATATTATTCTTAATCTAAGGCCAAATTATTTTAAAACAAGCTCTTAGCTATTCCTAGTCTAAGGCAATATTTCTAATTAGGCTCTTAAACTATAACTAGTCTAAGGCAGAACACAAGAATCGATAATCCACCCTATGAGTCATGTGGATTACGTACCAACCGAACAGTGATCTGTCGGGTGGGTGATATCCGTTCTTGATCCCGTACGTACACTTTAACTCTGACTTTATGAATTGGTCAAGGAGGTATATTTTAGTGTTCTTCTAGATATCCTTAATAATTATCATCAATATACAAGTGGGTATATCTTAGAGGTCTTCTAGATATCCTTAACAATATACACCATTTTCATAATCACCCTTATATTCCTTTTTAATCATGATTTAATCATCAATAGTCATTGTAATCAGTAGGTTTATCATTCATAATTATCCATAATAATTATTCATCATAATGATCATTCAACATAACATTTAATAACAAATAGCGACCTAGTCTCGAGTGTTAACACCCGAACATACTGTCATGTATCACATAATGTTTTATATGTCAAAAACATCATTTTATTGTACAAAATCATATTTATATTGTTCATAATTATTTAGTATCAAAAATAGGATTTTAGAGCTCAAAAATAGCATTTTTGGACAAATTTTCGAATCAGAATTTCGAAAGATCGATCTAGCCCTCTAGATAGATCCAAACTAGAATAAATACTCCCATAGGATCGATCCAGACAGTATGATCGATCCAAACAGAGTAGTTTCATGTCACTGTTCATCTTCTTCAACCTTCCGTCTATTTTTCGGAAATACCATTTTTAGTTACCGAACTTCAATTAAATTATATAGAAATGTTCTCTAAAGTTTATAGATCATTTTGGAATCATTAAATTATATTTTTAACATCAAATTTAAGGTTTATGATTTTTTGTTCTTCAAACTTGCCAAACACAAAACTCAACCAAATGACCATTTATGAACTTCGAAGCGTAATGGAGGTTTTGAAGATTTTCCGGCAAAACTTCCGGCAACTATAACTCTCTGCTCCAGCGACCTCACAAAAAGATGACAGCACCACTGAACTCTAATCTCAGCAAGGAATAAGATAGAAGAAAGAATGAATTGTTTTGGTGAAGAATTGAAGGAGTTGGCTCTCCTTATATAGCCAAGTGAAGGAGGAAGAAGACACTGGTTTGGGTTGCTTCCGTGATTGTGCGGTGATTTGGATTTTGGAATCGGCGTAATTGAACATGGCGCCGTTTGGTGTGTAGTCCCTGATTGGGACTAATTTTGGGCCATATCGTCGCTTGGTGGGATAGTTGGTTTATTTATTTGTGACATGCTAGAGCTATTTTACGCTATGCATACTTTAGCACAGTTCTTGAAGGAACCACGACAAGATTAGTGGCCTGCTACTCTTGGAGTTGTTCAATATTTGAAAGGGTGTTCGGGCCGTGGTATCCTTCTTTCTACAAGTAATCATTTGCACCTTACTGGGTGGGTGATTCGGATTGGGCAGTCTGTTCTCTCACGAGGCATTTTTTGACAAGATGATTTGTTCAGCTTGGAAATTCTTCTGTCTCTTGAAAAATGAAGAAAGAAACAACAGTTGCCTGTTCATCCACTAAGGTCGAATATAAGGCCCTTGTTGGAGTTACTTGTTAGTGGAAATGGTTAAAAGGTCTCTTGCACTCGCTAGGCATTTTGCATACGATCATATGAATAGATACCATGTGATAGCACGACGACACTTCATACATATTGCAGCTAATCCAATTTTTCACGAACACACGAAACACATACAAAATGATTCTCACTTTGTTCGTGACGAACTTATTCACATCGTGTTCTCACTTCACTTCAACTTGCAAAAATTCATATAACGGCATTGAGAATGATACACATGTAGTTCCTCATTCCCAAGTTAGGTATTACATTTTTACACGCTTTAACTTGAGGGGGTGTTAAAAGAAAGAATACATTCCCGTATATATTATTATTTGATTTAGGTGTGCATGATAGTATCCTTGTATTGTTCTGTTTCGTTTATTGTTTCTTTTCATGAAGAGTTTGTTTCTATATAGAATTCTTAACCCCTGAGATCCTATATAAGGACGTGCCTTGTTCATATTAAATCATTAGAAAATACAAGAGAATTACTTTCTCCTAAGTATTATTCTTTCACGGAGGGAGTAATTGGTAGAGGAAAATGCAATAATGAAGAAATAGCTTCTGCACAACCAAAATAAACGAACTTCACACAAAAGTGGTAAACAATACACATAAATGGCAGAAGAAAGGGGCTGTCCGGCTTTCACCTAGTTAGATAGCACAAAACAATATAACCACGAATAGGGACACAAACTGTCGTAACAGACTTCCTCTATCTCCTCCATTCTCCTCTTTTTTATTTGAACCACAAACGAACTAAAAAAAAGGGTATCAGTCTATCATCTAAGCATGATGCTTGACTATAAAGATCCCTAAAACTGTGGAGAAGAAACATAACATTGTAGTCCAATCAAATCAGATTCTTTCTCCGTGTAGGAGGGACATATATATAGCCCTACAAGAAAACAAATTAATCACAACTGAAACATGTAAACTGTCATAAAGAGACAAATGCTGTAAACAAAAACGTAGAAGATGCATTGCAGTGTGATGAGGAAAACATGTGTATGAATGCTTAATTAGTAACCACATAAACTACTGCACTAAACGGAATACTGTAAAAAAAAAAAAAAAAAAAACTAAAACACCTTAGCGTGGATCTCACTATAAAAAATTCACTGCTACTTGCAAATTGGAATTTGCGTGAGTTCCATTTATGCTGCTTATCCCTCTCACAAGCCACGTCAAGTGAAAACCGGCAATCCATTATCGATGTGGTTACTGAAGTAACACCCACTCAGATTCCTTCCCAACGCAACATTTTCATTCCTCCTCTCTTTTCCATGCCCATTCATTTCAGCACTAGATTTTCTAGCAGGCTCAAATGATCCCAAACCAGTGCTCGAATTTCTCCAGCTCACACTACTACTACTTCGATACAGCTTCCTGTTAAGCACCCCTCTAGCATCCCTTCCTGCTGGGTCTTTTGAAAAGGAAACTTCTGCTCTCTTACACCTACCATCATCATCATCTTCATCCTTGCTCCCACCACCTCGCCGGTATATAAAACCGAAAATATTCCATGCCCACTTCTTTGACTTCTTCATGCCCTTTCTCTCAGCACTATCTTTCAAACTAGTCAACTCTAAAGTTTTGGAGCAATCGTCCCTCAAAGAATTGGAATATGAAGCTGAATCCTTGTCAAAAGCCAACGTCTTCGCCCTGTTAACCGAATCTGGTTTCAGCAAAGCCTTAGCACTGGAAGCTGCTTTCATCTCATCAATTTCAGCTACCACAGCTGCTGCGGTCTTCCTGATAGAGTTAGACCTATCAAGACTCTTTCGCCTCCTCGTGGAAGAATCCAAATAGTAGTCCCTAGTTTGAGTGGAACCACCAGGAAGAATTGCATCATCACTGGCAGACTTCATCATAATTACAGCAGAGTCCACAGCAGGGATTTGAGTATCGGACTGCGGAACAGCAACCCCTTGAACATCCTCTACCACTGAAACCATAGGTGCCGTCCTGGGGAATGTTCTCCCAATCAAATGCCCATCCAAAGAAGCACGTGGCTCATCAAGGGAGTATCTTGGGCCATCAAAGCTAATCCTAGCAAAATCCAGTGAAAATCGGGGGTCGCTATCACAAGATCTCCTTCCTAATCCATATTCTGCTGGCTCCGGTTGGATCTCTATGTGTTTCATCATAGACACAGGAGGCGTCTCAACAGAAAGAGAAGAACTTTCGACAGTGTCTTGTTTCTTCTTCATCTTCTGCTTTTTCCTCCATTTCTGCCATTTCTTGCTCAAAACAGCAGTTGACAATATGCCCCCTGCAAGTCGGGACGAAGACTTTTCCATCTGTGAATCAAGATCAATATGATCCTTCATAGGCTTCGATATACTACCCTTAACCCTATTTTTTCCAACAATCTCCAAATTGACCGCTCCTGTCACGGGCCTTCCAACTTGGGGTTCTTGAAGATCAGTGACTTCTTCAATTATATCAGCTGCACTTGTATGTAAAGTCAAGTATTGATTGTTATCAGGGTCGTCGCTTTCTTCTGCTTCTATGAACTCTAGAACGGGCTTACTGGCAACAGTATCAGCAATGCCTTTTGAATGACGGTTTTGGGATCCGTTAAGATGGATTTGCTCGTCTAAAGAGATGATTGTATTACGTGACCTGACGTCACTGGACNTGGGGTTCTTGAAGATCAGTGACTTCTTCAATTATATCAGCTGCACTTGTATGTAAAGTCAAGTATTGATTGTTATCAGGGTCGTCGCTTTCTTCTGCTTCTATGAACTCTAGAACGGGCTTACTGGCAACAGTATCAGCAATGCCTTTTGAATGACGGTTTTGGGATCCGTTAAGATGGATTTGCTCGTCTAAAGAGATGATTGTATTACGTGACCTGACGTCACTGGACCTGCGTTGGGGCTCAAAACCTGTGGCTGCGGACGAGCTAAAAGGGTCATTCTTTGAAGCGGAGAGTGACTTGGTACGGCGGAGGTAAGAAGAAGAGGAAGAAGACGAGGGCTTGGTGAATAGGGATTTGATGGCACCTGTAACGGAGGAGGAGGAGGTTGTAAGATTGTTGCTAGATGAGGATTGGTCTAAAGTGGTGAGGCGTTCGCAGAGGCAATCTGAGCAGAACCCGGATAACTTCTCACCTGGGTGGCGATCGCAGCTGAAGGAGGATCGCGGCGGCGGCGGTTGGGATGAACCCGCAGCGGTTGGATTCATACCCGGCGGTGCTCCGAAACTACAGTGCCCACCTGGCTCATTTTTCAGTTCCGATGACTTTTTTGGTTACATCTGAAAAGAGAAGCACGAGGACGAAGGAATAAAGAAAAGAAAAACATCACGCCTCTCCAATTCTGAATTTTTTAAAGTTAAGGTAGTGTTTGCTTTAGAGAAAATATTTTCTGGAAAAACTTAAATTTTAACTTCTTGTGTTTGGTAACATGAAATATATGAAAAATTTTTCTCATAATAAAAATTGTTTACTTTTGAAAAAAAAGAGTAAATCTCAATAACTATGATTTTTACAAATTAGTCTCCAAGATAAACTAATCGTTAAAACGCTACTCAACAATTGAAAATAATAGTACATAATTTAGTCCTCACGACTAACGGCAATCTAAACAGCGTTAAAACGACATTAAATTATACACTATTTTTCCAAAATTATCTTTTCAAATTAGATATTTTTAAATTGATCTATTTTTGAAGTAAAATTTCATTAAGTATGAAAAACCGAAGCAAGAGTCTTCTCTTTTAAGTTTTTATTAGTTTTTATTCATTAAGTATAAAAACCCAAAAGACCATTTTTTATAAGTTTTTATTTCACAAAATGGACTAGTTTGGAAGAGCATTGAATTAAAGATGGATATTTCGAGAAAATTAGTATATGTTTTAATACCGGTTTGACAGTCGTTAATCATGGGATCAGAACTAAACTGAGTATTGTTCTCAATTAACGAGTATCATCTTAGTAGTTCATCCATCTAGGAGACGAATTTAAGAAAAAAAATATAGCTATTGACTATTGAGTACCACTTTGAGAATTAACTCAAAAACATTCTATTCACTTTCGACCATTGCCACCGACTCCCCGACCCCCTGCTTCATTGTCTACACTCAAACCCTGCTTCCACCCCAATCGCGATTAGTCATATCCCACCCGCCCTCGCCCCTGGCCTCTACTCCTCGCTTCCATCCTACCCTGTCACGCTCCGCCCACCCTTCCTATTTTCACCCCAACCTGTCTACCCCACCTACCTCCACCACGTTCTTCCACCCCTCGCCAACCCCCACACCCTGCCCATATCCACCCCTACACCCCCACCCACTTCCACCCACTCCTGTCGTGTCCAACCCTCCCACCACAACCCATGCCCCTCGTTCACCTGCCACATGCCACCCCCAGCGCTCCTCCCCAACCATGCGATCCCCGGCCAAACATCACTTGCTACCTCGTGCCACATGTCATTGCAGCGCCTACACCTCCCTCATATTGCTAAAATATTTGTAAATTATTTCAGCTCATTTTTTTAAAATATTATTTTTTTTATATGTATTTTTCAGAAAAGTGTGTCAAATTTGGTTTTCATTGAAGCTATTTTAGCTCCATATTACAGTTAAATGATTTCCGAATTCATATGTGATTCTTTGTGCTATGTGTTTTGTAAAATTTTAAGCTTTATGGATTTCTTAGCCCCATAAGTTGGACGTTTTCCTTAAGATTCGTTATTGAGTGATTTTGTTATGTTTTCGTGTGCTTTATGTTATTTTCAAAAAAAATTAAGGTTGTTTAAGCACAAAAACGATTTTTAAGTTTTTGAAAATATGTAAAGTTCTTTTATGTGAATAGACTAGAATTCTTATGCTTGACTTGTTTAAGGAGACCTGCAAAAGATTTTCATCATTAGACGTTAAAGTTTATTAAAGTTCATAATGTGTTGGCGGTTTGTGAATAGATTATGCATGGAAGTTAGAATGAAAGAAAGATTCGCTCTTTTATAAACTTTTCCATCTTTTGGAATCATTGTTTGAGCGCTTGAGGTGAGTTGAGGTTCAAAGTGATCCAAAAGACCTTTGAATTAGATGACTCCGGGGTTTATAGAGAGTTGGCGATCCTCTATATGTGGTCAAGGATATTATTCAACTCGAGCCTTTGAATTATTTTCTATTTTTAAGTGCGTAAGTTAGTAATATATTGTCTACGTGCCTATTATACATGTAATGTTCGACTTGTGTTTGTTCTCTTTTTAATTTTGTTTCGGGTTCGTGGCGGTGTTTCTTGGGTTACCTTAGTTGGAGAAGTTGATTATCTTTAGAGCGTGTTTCCCCCAGTTTATCAAAAAAAACCAAAAATATAAAAAACTAAAAAATATTTTCCCGCTCTCTCACCTTGCAACATCTAGATGTGTAAAGGAATGTTAATCGCATCAGATGTATCATTACCAAATTAGTATATGTTTACTTTTAACAGATATAGAATTTGAATACAGATCATGGCGGATGTTAAATATCAGAATTGTATCTGCTTCCGTTGGATAACGGTCAGATATCGGATATATCCGTATTTATTTCCAATTTTTTTGATGTTAATTTGAACTACACAGTATATAAATAATTTTAATATATTCATCCAATTTGTTATGAAGTAATATTTTTCTTATTTTTTTGGTAATTATTATTATTCTATGAAGACTTATGATAAAAGCAATTACATACAATACACACATATTTGTATGTGTCTACACGTACATTTTACATATGAAGATGTCTTATATATAAAAGGAATTGGATAAACATATAAATGGTTACTTAAACGAGTGTGTAAGCAAAGTGATTATAAACGGATCAGATGTATGATTAGCAAAGCTGTCTCTGTTTACCAATCAGATCTTATTAATTGGATACAGATAATAACTGCTTTAAACGGATGTGAATATTTTCTTTGTAAACAGATACAAACAATAACCGAATTACCATTTATAGCCATAACAACCTCCACCATGTGTGATGGGTAGAAGCTCTGGGATATTGGGTATTGAGTCCAACTGACTATCTAACATTCCTGGTTGGCTTGTTCTAGTGTCGCGACCATCTTCATCTTCTTGTTGAGTTGGTATTCATAGACTAGGTTAGCCACCATCTTCTTCCATCGTTGCTCCATTTGACCATCCTCCTGGATGCTCTACAACACGAGAGATAGACCTCGTATCCTGAGCTCTTGTCGAGAGGTGTTTGGATCCACGATGATGGAAGGGACTGAAGGCGAGCAACGATCTTGGCTAGTCTTTCTACCACAATGGACAATAGCGTGACGTTAAGTTGTTATTCAGTGTTGACTCCAACTCTATGGATTGAAGAGTCCAAGCTCTTTCTCCATTCAATGATTGAAGCCTAGAGGACGATTGAGCAATTCCTGCAACAACCTTTTCGAATTGTTTCTGCTCAATGAAAATACCAAATGATAGGTTTTAATGCATCAAAAAAAATAGTGATGGTATATTAGGTATTCTATTAAGCTCTCCCTTCCAATTAGTTCAATTAAGCTCTCCCTCCCGTCGTGCACTACTAGAATGCAGCAATTGTGACTAACCACAATTGACCAATTCTTCCACCTCGATCAAGCGTAGTCAATCAACCATACACCTTGTTTGGATGTTTGCTACTCCGCTTGACTTTTCATATTTTGACTTATCAAATCAAACAACCAAGTGAAAAAATCATTAGCGAAACAATAGTTTTGACTATTCGATTAGCCAAAAAAATAAAAATCCGTTAAAAAGACCAAAAGCTATCCAAAAATAATTTTTCCAAACACAATCATAATCTCGCCTTATCTAGGCTTTACCATCATGGTAGCTAACATGGCCCTCAGTCAACTCAATCCCAAGGGAGCCACCCATTCACGAGCCCACCGCTATATTTAATTAGGATTATCCTATCGGGCTTGCTTATCAATTATCTACCAAACCCAATATCCATCACATAAATATATGAAACTTCCTACAAACTTGACCATTGTAAAGGGCTCAGATATAAGTCTTGTTTAAAAACAACTTTTTCAAACGGAATTCTAGATAGTTTTTAATGGCACAGTGTAACTTCCAAAACCCTATTTCAAAATGCTAAAAGTAAATGTGGAAACAATCGTCAAGCGGACACATGATTATAGGAAACACAAAACGGACACATAATTGTTGAAAACACAACGCTTGATCAAGCAAGCGGTAGAAATCAGTACTAGTCCGTAGTTCATTACTCTTCAGGCCGCTATTTATTTCGCTTGTCTTTGGGCCAACTCTCCGGTATGTAATACAAAGCAAACATACTACTACCAAAAGCAACCAAAACAAAAAATCTCCAACCTGTCAAAAACATGAAACAGATACACCACTACAAATACAATAAAAATCTAGCCAAATGCATGATGGATCCTAACCTAGAAAAAGGTTAAACATCAATGACTTACAAAGAAGACAACATGACAAGAAATCAGAGTTTTTAAAGGAGCAAGGATGATCTTAGAGCACACTTAAGTATTATCTTCAGCCTTAAGGATTACACCCTTTGGAAAGCCGGGCAGTTCCAAGGGTCGAATTATTAGGGTTAGAAGCACTTTCAAATAAAATCCCATTTGAACCCCTTGAAGTTTTAATGGATTCTGAAATCTCGCCCTCCCGTCCAGGTTCGGCATCCCCTTTCGATGAAATCCCTTCTGAAGTTTCAATGGACTCTGAGATCTGTGACTGCAGCTTCTCATACTCATCTTTCAAATCAGATCCTTCAAAAGCCTCCATTAGGCGCTGCTTTATTTCCTGTTGCAGAGCCTTAATTTTAATGGTTGACTTCTCATCTTGCGTGTTACCTGCCTTGGCTACTTCCCTCTTCAACAACTCAATCTTGTTTTTCAAATCAGTCGATTTCACAACATCATCTAGGAAATGACGAACTCTTTTCTGATATTTATGTATTTTCACATCTAAAGCTGAGGGTGGACCAACATGCAGACCTGAAGCTTCAAGAGCAGCTGCAAATTCAGATTTTATCTCACTCTGCAATTCAGCTAGCGAATCCTTCACATCTTTGTCTAACTCCTCTAGTTTTGACACCCCACTATTCCTGATGATAGCCTTTATATCCTCAATCTTCTGCTTCAGATCAGCCCGATTTACGACTTCTTTGTATTTCTCATTAATCTTCCACTTCAAGCCACCTGCTCCGCAACTTTTCTCTACGAGATCCAGAGCACTTAATATTTCTTTAATCATGTCAATCTTAAGTTTTATGCCCTTAAAGTTACGAGATTCGAGAAGCTTTTGGTTGAGGTCATTTTTCAGCCGGCCAAGCTTTTCAATAAAAGCCTGGCGGATGGATGGGTTATTCGAGTTCCTCATCTCAGCATACTCTGTGCTTAGCGTTTCAATTGTTTCTCTAAGACCCAAGACCTCAGCAACCTCAATATTTTCATAATCACACTCTCTATAAAGCTTCTCTAACATCTCTTTCAGACTAGAACGAGAAATCATTGAAGCTGATTCATTGGCATTAGATGCCAGTAACTTCAGCCTCTCAACCTCACTCATCAACTCCAGTACATAAGTTTTCTTGGGCACTTCTTTCAATTTGAAGTTGAATGCCAAATCCGGATCTAAAGGAATTCCCTCCTGGACGTGTTTACCAGTTCCTATTCTCCTGAACTTGCGCATCCTGTGCTGTAACAGCTCTTCTGTTTCCAGTTCTTTAAGTTCCTGGGGAAAAGGTTATCAGATTTTTATTTTATTTCCCAATAACAGATGCTAAGAAATAGACGGGAACTAAACAGACTTACATCCATTGCTTCAAGAATAGCAGCTTTAATCTGCTGGGATGTCCAATATGGATCACAATGTGCACCACCAATTGGCTCCTGTAACAGGATAAAGTCCAAATCAGATGACACAATAGATCTCACGGATTCAAACGGAATGATGTAGAAAAAATGACTACAACATGCTACTCCATATATTTCAGAGATTACCTACTAAATACTAACTAATGTTTTATAAACATAAAAAATTTTATAAAAAAAACAACTAAGCTATCGTACACTGAACGACCCTCATTCCAGTACACACCCTACCGAGAAAGACTTATTCGATCAGAGAATATTAGACACGGACAAAATGAAATTGAGTGGAAAAGTCAATAACTGCCATGCACAAGACGTCTGAAATTAGGATGAATGTACGATAGAGGAGATATATTACAGGGATAATGCCATCAGCGATTTTCAGCTTGCACAGTTCTTGGGCGGTAATTCTAAGCCTCTTTGCAGCCTACATTGCATGACAACTATAGTGAGTCATAATATTTTTATATAGAAAAGTATATAGCAGGAAATGTGTGTGTGTGTAGCATTAGGTTCAAATGAGTAAGACTTTTTAGTAGAGAAAATGAGGACCACAAGAGATGGGCTCAGTTAAAGCACATAATCTTTACACTAAAAGTGTATTATGTTTGCATTTGAGATGATTTCTATTGACCATAAGCTCCAGTCCATTTACAAAAGGATGTCCATATATTTATATAAATGTCCCCACTAAATTTTTTAAAAGTGGCATGCTTGTAATTGATTTCAACGCAAAGGCATATCTTTTATACTACAAGTAGAGAACGTTTATACTTTGGGTGCAACATTAATGATCATTTAGAAAGTAAATTTTAGCTTTTGATTTTAAAAAAGAATGTAGTAGGTTTATTTGTTATTTCTCTCTTGGGAAGCTATTCTCACATAATGTCATCCCTAAATATATTTTGGACCAAATGAATATAATCCTTAATGAGAGAAATGATAATGCATACAGGCATGAAATTTGAAAATTAATGAAAATGAGAATGCATAATGTCTCTCAGGGCTATGAATTAATGAAAATTTAGAAAGACTTCCAAAAATGGGGCAATTTAGTAAATAAGTCAAACTTTTCTGTCACTGTAAAATATGTCAAATCTCAAACAAAAATGTGAAATAAACCAAAAAGGCACCATTCTCATTTCCCAATTTAATTTAATTGTCATTCTCACCAAAACTGCACCATGTGCATATCTATCTATAAATGTGAGCGCACGCGCACCCACACAAATATATATATATATATTGAAAACACATGTTGAACCTTTCCAGCAGCCTTTGAATCCTTGTACAAAATTGCTGCACTTGCCTCCGGACTAGATGGTAATGAACACCGATACAAAGATAAACATATGAGAGCAATTATAAGCATTATGAAGATATAGAATTCTTCAAAAATGGTAGATCGCCAAATATTAATTATAATAACAATAATAATAGTAATAATAATTATTGTTATTATAGTAGTATTATTATTATTACAGTAGTAATTACAGTTATAATAACAACAACAAGAGTAACTACTAGTAATCAAGGATTTGAATGGGGAAAACTAGCCTTGAGGCGGTGGAGCAAAACGCCTTGAGGCGTAAGCCTCGAGGCGGAACGAGGCATAAGCCTCGAGGCAGAACGAGGTGTAAGCCTCGAGGCGGAACGAGGCCTAAGCCTCGAGGCGGAACGAGGCCTAAGCCTCGAGGCGGAACGAGGCCTAAGCCTCGAGGCGGAAAGAGGCCTAAGCCTCGAGGCGGAACGAGGCCTAAGCCTCAAGGCGGAACGAGGCCTAAGCCTCAAGGCGGAACGAGGCCTAAGCCTCGAGGCGGAACGAGGCCTAAGCCACAGTTCAATATGGAAAAAAATTACAAAAATATGTACACCGAGGTAAAACGAAATGCATAATCCATTTTGATGTTAAATAGATGATAAAATCATAATTCCTGAATTTTACAAAATATGATACCCTATCTTAATTCTTAAAATACAAAAAAAAAATATAAAAATTAAACACAACATAAAACACAAATGTCTCAAAGCCATCTTCAAACCTTATAAATATTAAATATGGACAAAAGTTCCACGCAAAAAAAAAAAAGTTACATCATTCTTTGAAGATTGAACTGAATTTAAAAGAGCGAGAGGAATGTTGGAAAGAAGGTACCGGAAAAATTAAAAGTAGAAAGAAGATGAAAGAAGTAGAAGTTAAGCTATTAATTATGAAGCAATTGCCTTAGCGGCTACCACAAGAGAGAAGTTGTGCCACTGAAGTCTGAAGATGGAGAGAAGTACGTTTGAATATGGAGAGACGAAAGTTGACGCTTAACTCTTGAAAAGAAGAGTTAACTATCTACCTGGTTTATTTAGTTTTTCTTAAGAAACTATATAGTGCATTGGCCCAAAAGAGTTTTTGTAAAAGAGGCCCAATAGCTTTTTAAAAATAACCCTTATAATTGTTGAAATTCTTATTAAAAGTGAGTCTTACGCCTCGGTTACGCCTTACCGCCTCAGACTGCCTCAACATTGTGAGGTGTACGCCTCAGGTATCCCTATTGAGGCTTAAGCCCCAGAGGCGAAATGCAACCGCCTTACCGCCTCACAGCCTCGGTTGCCTTTTAACAGCATGCTAGTAATACAAGACCAATAATTGAGAACCCGAACAAGAATGAAAATAAGTTTTAAGTACCTGGCAACAAAGAATACTCCATTTTCAAGCATGAGCACTTTATTGGCACAGGCAATAGCAAGAGCACCTCCTGATCCACCTTCTCCTATAACAACAGAGATAATTGGAACTTTTAAACCAAACATTGTTCTCAGGTTTTGAGCTATTGCTTCACCCTGCACAAAGCAAAATTAAAAATTACATCCAAAGTGAATAAAAACACAGAAGACTTCAATGGACCAGTGCTATTGACATACCTGTCCCTTTGCCTCTGACTTGGTGTCCGCAAAAGCCCCTGGAGTATCAACAAAAGAAACAATGGGGAAACCATGATGATCTGCATAGTGCATCATACGTAGAGCCTTCCGGTAACTATTGAAAACATATTTGAAAAGTTAAAAATTGAATAATGATAGTATTTCCTTTAAAATAAAAATGCAGACCAGTAGAGCATACCCATGTGGTGTGGGCATTCCAAAGTTTCGTTTTATGTTCTCCTTTGTGTTGCGCCCCTTTTGATGGCCCATGAACATAAACCTTTGACCATCAATCATGCCAAGACCAGTAACAATAGCTGGGTCATCATATCCTGCTCGATCACCATGAAGCTCTACAAACTGTACTTAGCATAGAAATTCAAACGCTAAACAAGTTAAAAAGATATGCAAAATAAAAAATGAATTAAAGGTGAGTGAAATTCGTAAAGGCATAACGAGACCTTATCAGTAATATTGAAAACATGATCAAGAAATGTTGGCCTGTTAGGATGCCTTGCAATATTAACTCGTTGTATAGGTGCCAGGCGCTTGTAAAGATCCTCACGAAGCTGAAAATAATTTCAGATAGAGACAAATGTGAAAAGAGATATAGACAACAGCAAGGTTTATATCTAATCTCATCAATATTGAAAAGAACTGTCTCAAAAAATTCTAGATCACTTTTCTCCAGTGATGATCTACTTTGTGCTTATGGAATTTCTACAAAATGGAAGCATGGTTCTCAATATCAAAACTTTGGGTTTTCACATATGTAAAATCCAACAAAATTCTGCATACCATTAGACATAAACAATACAAAGTAGTGGGCCATGATCCTAAAAGAAAATGAATACTAGCATAAGAGTACTCAAAATATCAAACTAGACATTTGGTTTAGAGTATTTGGATTTGGAATATTTTGGATATGCATTTATTAAAACAAACCTGCTGATATTTGTTTTCCAGTAGTATAATTTGATCACTGAAATCAAGCCCAGTATCATTCGCCATCTTCTGAACCTGTAATCAAGGATATCTTTAGCTTGTCAGATAAAACACAATTTAAAACCAATATGAAAATTGATATACACATCGTGCCAGACATTTAGTTAATAAAAGGAACATACATCAATTATCTTCTTCTGTAGGTCAATAAGTGGTTTCTCAAAGTCCAATATAACAGGCTTTGGCTTCTCTTTCAAAGGCTTGAAAGGAGATAGATAGCGAAGCACTCCTCCCTTAACATTTGGATCGATTTCCTGTGGTTGTGGCCATGGATAGTCATGTTTTTTTCTTCGCTTCTTAAGCAATGCAGTGACTGCAAAATCTCTATTCTTGGATCCCAATCTCACTCTACCCAGGGCCTTCAAAGGCACATCACAAACAAAATCTCTAGAAGAATGGAGGAAGTCTGAAGCTGAAAGTCCAGATGCCAAACTTCCAGCAAATACAGCTGAAGGATGATGAATTGTTGAAGCCATTACCCAACTCCACAGATCTTGATTTCTTGATGATTCAAATCCTATTTCACAATAAGTTGTCTTCTATAGAAAACATGCGTGAAAAGATTAGGGTTGGAAAGCATTCTTACAGATATATGAACAGCTTTTCTCACACTTTCCTCAAAATAAAAAGAAGTTATGAACTGTTAAATATCACTGTGATTTGACTCACGTATAATGATTACATAGTAAAATTTCCATCGAGCCATAACAAGAAAAAAATAACTATAACGTTTAGCAACTTTTAGTTCCCATATGACTATCAAATTTCCATTATATATCTGACATCAAGAACCACTATTAATTAACCAAGTCTCTAGACCATAGAAGATGTGTTAATGCCATTCAGAAGAGCCAAGCCAAGTAATGCAATTTTTTTAAAAATAGCTCGAGAAAAACTCAATTGCAAAACAGTACGGTTCCACTACTTAGCTAAGCTAGAGCATCAATTGCTCGATATTGTAGGAAAAGAGTTTTGAATAGGTACCAAAGACGGATCAAGATCTGCTCAAATGGTTTTTATCTTCACGCTTCTATAACCTTGGAAACAGATTTTAACAGAGATTATCGAACCAGAAAAAAAGCATACAAATTTTGAAATAGGGCGACATTTCCACTCTGATGCACCCTACTTCTCACAACATAGGCAACATACTTTTACAAGTCACAACTACTAGTAGTAAAAAAAAGACTAAAGGAAAAGGGAAATCATGCGGAAAAGGGAAACTTGCTTGAACAATTTAACACCCACAAAAAACCGTAGAAAAGAGTAACACCAATTACTTAGCTACTGGAACAGGAAAAACCTGGAATGCGAGACGCGTAAAGGCGGAGAGACAGATTCTGCAGATTGGCAAAGCAGATCTGAGGAAGCGGCGGGAAATGAGAATCGGAAGAAGAAATGGAGAGAAAGGGTATACTTAGATCAAGAACAAGGGAGAGAAGAGGGAAGAAAACGAGGAAATGAAGGGTGTCTGACTGTCCGGTCGTTAATTCTTATGCAGCTGCTGCGCACACTCCTGGTGGTTCTTCAATTATTAAAATTAATGAGCCGGCTTTTTCCGGTTTGGGAGTTTAGCCATGATTCCCATGAACTTACAGCTCTTCCTAGCGGGTTCAATCGGCTATGTTTGGGAATATTTTAGATAAAATTTGAATGATGTCAATAAATTTTGAAAATTTTACTTTATTCGTCTATCATAGATATTCTCAAATGAGGCTGGTTCTAGAGCCACTGAAATCCAGTGGCTACGGAAGCCACTGCCACCCCTACGGAGCTCCGTTCATAAAATTGATGATTCCTACTCCCCTAATCCCCCGATAAACCCCCCGCCAAGTCTCGACCCAAACTACTCTCCCACCTATGTCAGTTGCACCTCGCAAGTATAAAGTCAAAATATTTGACTTTAAAGTCAATTATACTTGCGAGATGCAATTGACGTAGGTGGGAGGAGTAGTTTGGGTCTAGACTTGGCGGGGGCTTTACCGGGGGGTTAGGGGGGGTAGCAATCATCAATTTCATGAACGGTCAGAACGGAGCTCTGTAGGGGGGCAGTGGCTTCCGTAGCCACTGGATTCCAGTGGCTCTAGAACCTCTCTCTTCTCAAATTGAATTTCTATAGATTTGAAGCAGAGTTGAGAAAATATGAAACATACTAAAACATCCGTAACGAAAGTAGGTAGATGTATATTAAATAAGATGAATAAAAAAAGTGAGAATAGTTGTAATATTTTATATGTTAAAAAAGGCAATGGAAATATCTTTTTTGGAAAAACAAAAAAGGCATGTGAGAGATCTATAACGGTCGGAGTGAGTAGCTAAACATTGTCGATAGATGGCATCTTCTATATGCTAACTATAAACTCTAACGATGTGATGGAAAGAACTCCATGCCACCAAATGATCTGATACACGAAGGCAGATCAAATTATCAGTGAGAAGAGTAGTGAAAAAGGCACAAAGCTTGAGAACATGAAGAACGATGCAAGTATTAATTAGTTGTCTTGAGCTTGAGGACTACAACGGCATCTCGCCTATATTTATAGGTATACTATTCGAATCATGCATGGGAAGTGCTAAATATGGTAGTTCAATCATAGTATGGTATGGTGTTCCTCCGGCGTCAATGCTAAGCCAAGCAATCTCACTTTGTTTGCGATCGAACGCGGTCAATCACGAGAAGGACAGGACTTCTCTTCCCAATCACACGACTGGCCAGGCCCAAAAACTCTTAGATCAATCTCGGCGTATTTGGTCCCGAAGGGTTGACGAAACGTATGGATGGTTGGGCTTGTACCTTCTTTAAGTTATACGGGTGTTGGGCTGGGCCTAAGCCGAGTGGCCCATTAGCCTATCATAAGCCCCCCACTCCTTAAGCTTAAAACAGGCCATTTCAGGGGTGAGGAGTATGTGAACGTTGCCCAACCACTCTCACTTAGGCCGCATGCGTGTTTCAATCTTGAGTAACGTCCCTTAGAAACCACGCTACAACCGTCATGTCCCTTCGATCGAGCGGTTATGCATGATCTCTACTAACTCCATTATTGACTTTGTTTCGTTTCTGCTCTTCCACGATAAATCTTCAACGACCGCCAAATTTCATCTTCACGCCTTCAATCGAGTATCACTTCCAACCAAGCGTTCAATCTTTGTTCATCTTCTACCGAATTCAGTTTAGGATCCCTCTTTCCTTGAGTTCCATGTCGTTATCTGGATCTGGAATCCTCTACTCCTTTGAATGATTTCACCCCTCAAGGGGGGTATAATCAGCCCCATACTTGGAAGAATTTTGATTCTGATACATCTTCGGAATGGGCCTCACCGTTGCTGGTGATTCCCCTCCGAGAGATCACCTAGTGGTCCCCCAGAGGCGCAATCTCCGTGAGAAATCTAGGTCTCTCAAACCTATTCCTTCCAGCCACTGTGTTGATCTGGAAGAAAGCATCATGGTGATGTGTCGCTGCTAAACATCCGATCCAAAATTTGTGAATGCCACGGATATGGTGGGGCCTATATCGTGGTGGCTCGATTGGGTCCAACAGAAACCACCCTTGACGCCCCCGAGGGTTATTTTACTATCCATATCCAGTCATTGAGGCGTGGTCTCCGTTTCCCGCTTCATAACTTAATTGTAGAATACTTAAACCACCTTAACCTCCTTCCCAGTCGGTTAGTCCCCAACTCCACTAGGTATCTTGTTCAGGTGACGAGAAACTAGAGTGGAACCTTCCCTTGAACCTTTCAGTTCATGTTCAAGTTGACGAAAGGAGTTGGGAAATGGACTTCCTATGCTTCTTTGTCGCAAAGGTCTAGCAAGTTTTCCACATGAGGAAGAAAGGGTCGAGCCACGAACGGAATCCTTCCTTTGTGTTCGTCTTGACTGGTCATGGATCTCCCTTTACCGCATTCGGTCGTCCGCTCTTTTGCCATGTGCAGCTGCCTGCACCGTCGGCCAAGTTGATGAGGGCCACCCAGAGGCTTTGCCAGGGGGGTTATATATATGAGATGGAAAAGTTGGTGACCAAAGATTAACTCACTGACCTAAGGATCAAGTTCGTCCGGGATGAGCACCAACACCATTCGAGGCTGTAACGCCCTAGATACCGGTCTAGAAGCTAATCAATAATTAAATAAATAAGAATTATTTATTTATGAAAATTTATTAAAAAATACTTTGGAGATTCTAATCGTCCCAATATATCGTCACTGATCTGATTTAAATGTTAAGATTTAAATTAAAAGACTGATTGGTATTAATTAATCGAAAGAATTAAGACGGACCATATGGAACTTATAAATACTTGTTGTGTGATAATAAAAGTTATATCCTTGGGTAAGGATTGACGAATCAAATCCAATGACACGAATGAATCTCAATTCGGAGCAAGCTCGAAAAGTGTGTTCTTACTCAGACACGTTATTTTAAATTACGGGGCACAAAAACCTAGGTATATAAATAGATTTATTTATCCCTAAGCCGTGACACTATTTTTCTTCTTCTTCGATTCGCTGACAGTAGCTGCTCTGGTTTCCTCTTCGATCAGCGACTACGGTCAGGTCAGAACCCACCGAGAATCTTCCCATCTCCCTCCGTGCTTTTGCATCTCCAGCCCTGCCCAGCGAATCCGGCGACCCCTATTTCGGCGACCTTCTTTCTCCAACGTACTCCGAGAAGCGATGACCCCAATTGGCAACGAGGAAGCTATGGCTCGCTCTTTTTCGTCCCCCTGACCTCCCGCAATCTCCAACGCCGGTGATCTCAATTGTCTATCCCTTTTGGACTAAAATATATACTTTGTATTCGTAAATATTCAAAATATTTTAAACATTTTAAAACTTTATTTCATAATAAGTCATTCAGGATAATAACGAGGTAATTTAATGTTACGGAAGCGTAATAATTCACAAGTACAAAACATAATAATTTTGTCTCTTTTAAATAGTAATTCATTTCACACATTCACCTCGACCATCTCGCAACAGTCAATTCATTCTTTCTATTTCCCTGCGTCTAGCAAATACTTCCTCCGTCCTAAAATTAACTTTTCATTTGACTTTTCACGGTCTCGAATACAACATTTTGACCATCAATATCTCAATTTTTATATAAATATATTTTATAAAAATTATATATTTCAAAACTATATTCCAAAATATAATGAATCTATTGATAATAAACTTATATGAAAATTCAATGTATTTTTTCCTTAATCTACGGTCAAAGTTTAAAAAGTTTGACTGTAAAAGTCAACCCGGGAAGTTAATTTTAGGACGGAGGGAGTAAAACATATTACATGCTCAGCGTTGAAACTGAGTAAGCATATCTAATGCATCGAACATCCATATAAACTGAATCTTAATTCATCATCAAATCATTTGATATCATGCACATAATATATAATTCAAGCATTCATCTTTCATGATATTCACACTATTTTAATTCAAGACATTTCATGATATAAACAATATTCAATATTCAATATTTCAATAGTGCTCTTAAATTATTCCTAATCTAAGGCCAAGTTAAGCTCTTAAAATATTCCTAATCTAAGGCAATATTTCTAACCGGCCTCTTAAACTATAAATAGTTTAAGGCCGAACACAAGAATCGATGATCCACCCTATAAGTCTTGTGGATCACGTACCAACCGAATAGTGAACTGTTAGGCCGGTGATATTCGGTTTAGATCCCGTGCGAACATTTTAACCCCAAATTTCTAAATAGGTCACATAGGTATATTTTAGAATTTTTCTAGATATCCTCAATAGTCATCATCAATTTCAATTCTAAATGAGTATATCTTCTAGATACTCTTAACAATACACATTATTTTCTTATTCATCGATATATTCATTTTTACTCATAAATCAATCATTCACAATAATCATTTTAATTAGAATATTCAACAAGTTTTAAATCATTAATCATATCAATCAATAATAATTATCATAACATTCAATAATAGATAGCGGCCTAGCTTACCGTCATGCATCAGACAAGATTTTATTTTAAAAAAAATATTTTTATTTCAAGAAATCAAAATTGACAAATTGTATAGAGTTAGAAAATAAAATTACATATTAAAATACTAGGTCAAATGATCTATAAAACTAGTAGTGACAATAACATTTTATTTTATCATATTGCTAACGAAAATAGAGAAAGAAAGTAAATGAAGTTTGACTCTGCAAATAGTAAATTAAACATGCACTATAAATTGGGACGGATGAAGTATCATTTTAAAAATTATTTTATTTATAAATTGCTATAAAAATAAAAAGTACAAATTATATGGTTCAAAAGCACATCAAGAGTTCACAAATAAGACATGATAAAGATATTTGATTTTATCAAATAGTTAATAAAAACATGCAAACAAACTAAAGTTATCAAAAACCCAAATTAATAACTAGGACAAAGGGAGTAAGCCACAAAAACCTTTCCAAAAGTAGAAAGAGAACTATTTTCTTGGGATGCTCTAAAAAAAATAAAGATTATAAATTAGAGACGGAAATAATATTACTTAGTCATTTAAATTTCTCTTGTTTGACTTAAGTGGTTCATTTTTAAAATTTTTCTTGTCCGAGCTTGTACTTTATTTATGACTACTGTTTTAATACGGAGTATGCTTTTTAGAGGATAATTCTTAAATTTTAGGCTTTAAATTTTATTTTTAGTTTTTAATTTTAGATTTTAAAGTATAAATTTTAAGTTTACCAAAATGGAAGTGTTATGGAAAAACGAGAGAAGTGAAAGAACTCTTTAAAAAACGTATGGAGCAAAAATAGAAATGATTTTTTTGAGAAAATATTTTTCTTTCTACCAAACAACGGAAAATATGATTGGAAAATATTTTTCCTTCGAATACATTTTCCATTGTAAAATATTCTTCATTGAAAATATTTTACACTCAACTACAGAACCTTAGAGTACAATTTTTCGCTAAGTAAATAGGGTAGAGTTCCCATGACATTGGGACCCCATGTCATGGGATGACCCGGGGCGCTCCGGTGCTCCGTTCGTAAAATTGACAATTCCTACCCCCGGTAAACCCTCCCACCCAACCCCGACCCGAACACACCCCTCACCCCCTCAGTTGCACCCTACAAATTGATTTTGACTTTGGAGTCAAATTTTGACTCCAAAGTCAAAATCAACTTGTGAGGTGCAATTGAAGGAGGTGGTGGTGTGTTCGGGTCGAGGCGGGATGGGGGGTTTACCGGGGGTTAGAGGGGTAGGAACCGTCAATTTTTGAACGGGGCACCGGAGCGCTCCCGGGTCATTCCATGACATTGCCGGGCAATGTCATGGGAACCGTCCTCAAGTAAATAAGGTGTGTGAACGTTTAATTGTGTACAGCCAAAGAAGAGAAATAAACAAACTAAATTCAAGATGGAGAAGTGCTTTACAAATCAACCATTATACTCGGTATGCCGCATTTTGTTGTTACTAGAGATGCAGACGAAACAAGAGAATGTCAAGAGGTTTTCAAAAGATAATACAAAAAGGGGGTAGTTTCCCATAAACGTAAATGCATTGGACGAAAAGGTAGTTGTACTTGTCCTCTTTCTTTCATCATCCGTGAAAGAGATCATGAGAACATGTTTTTGTAAAATCAACAATTACATAGGCCGACCACCACCCAGAAGTCCTCCTACCAGACTGTTCACCTGCATAAAAGCATTTAGGATTTAATAGGATAGCAAACCACGAAAAATATGTGACGTCATTGTCATTGGCAATGCAGCAAGAAAAACCATAGATTCTTTAAACAGCACAGTTATAATGACACCATTTTGGGTGTCATATTATGACACTCGCAAGAGAAATGCTCAAGGGGAAGTTCGTTTGCCTATTGCATTGGGCCATAAGCAGGGGACAAGAACTCTGATTATAACATCACTATCCACATGTAATTTCATCTTACATTTGCTGGAAATCTGTAGCTCTAAAGAAAATTTAGGATAAAAAGCACTAAACAATACGAATGCAAGTTTATTAAGGCAACAAAAAAAATTTAATCACCAAAACAACCATCCATACAACAGTCTCCATCAAAAACAGCAACTATCGAAACACAAACCTCTGCAACAAGCTCCTCAACTAGTTTATACACTTAATTTTAAGGTTGATAATATAACTTGTTGTTTCATGCATTATATTCGTCGACAATTACTCTCACATGGCATTATTACATTTAATAGTCGCTCAAAATTGTTTGCTCCCATACATGTCTTTTGTGATGAGATTAAATATTGAATTCACGTTCACGTATGTATTTTACATTGTGATAATGCACATGAATGTCTCTCTTATCCATTCACATCTTATATGGGATACCATGGTAAGTTTTGCCAAATCTCATGTGCCAATACACAGATACTCCATATAATAGAATTAAGTTGTTGAGCAACAAAATAAACATTAACTTATTTACTTGAAACAGCAACCACAATTTCATTCCAAATGCATGTGTCAAAATGTTATTGGGCTAATGCATTGGTTACTGCTTCCTTTTTATTAATCAACTACACTCCTCAGTCCAAAATGGTAAAACTACGCATCAAACTTATAGAACTCAAGATAGACGGGGAGAATTAAGGAAAATCTTTATCAAATTATGAAACCAGAATTTAACTCCATAAAATAATCAAGATGAAGGAAAATCTTCATCACAAAATGAATACAACCCAGTACAATCTCACCCACACAGCAGGGTTTGGAGAGGTTATGTGTACTCAGACCTCAACCCTACTTTGAAAAGTAAGAATCTTAAACTCATATACAATAAAGCCCAAAGAGAATCTCCAATGATAAATATTGAATTAAATTCTAAATGACTTCTACAAAATATGAGATTCAATATTTCTAGAAGCCAAATAACTACCAAACCCTAGATGAACCTTAGTTTGGTGAATTGAAGTTGGCCTTAGGTGTAGTTACTCCGCGCGATCGTATACTGAACAAGCTAGAGTTCTATAGAAGACATAGGTACGAAGTGCATTCAGGCAAACTAGCCCACTAACACACTTAGTAACAATTCCACAAATTTAGGCCCACTTGCACATTAGTTTCCACTTAGTAACTAAAATGTATAAAATAAACATTTGACATAATAAAAAATGTCCCAAACTGACTCTAATAAATAAATTCTGATAACATAAAATGACTGCATATTGGGTACTCATCATTATCCCCTCCAAAATTTGCTTTGTCCTCGAGGTAACCTAGGCAATAGCTTCTCTGTATATGCATATGTTTGGGTAGAGGTGCTAGGAAGACAATATAATCAACTTCAAAAAAAGGAGTGGTGCAGCGAACAAAAGGGTGCGAATATGACATCAAAGCTTCAGCGATAAATTGATGCATGAAACCACTATCCATATGAATTCTATCAAAGTGACGTAGCAAGGTTCGATGAAGCCTTATCAGCGATGTTGTAGAATTTCCTAGGATGGTGTTGACAAATGTGTAAGCATTTTTTACCCCAAATTGGATGAATTATCATCTGTACTTGATGTAAGAATCATGGTTCCTTATATAGCCAACTTTATAGATGAGAATGAAGAGGTTTGACAGTGGCAACCAATACTAATTATACATTCGTATTGGAAAAACAACCCCGACTCCGTCATCGTCCATGAGAGATGCGCTAGTCGGAATTGTGGAGGGGCAGTGTGAAGCGAACATGTTTGCGTTCACTATTAGGGGCCGACTTAGAGTTGCAATTGAAGAGGTTGGCTGCTAAGCTATTGTGCTTGGGGCTTACCAACAAATACAACCTTGCCTTTCCATATTTGGGCTTTCTCTCCTTTCACCTCCAAATGGAATTTACTAGATGTGATTCTTTTTGTAGGGTGTCACAAAATGGAACACCGTACCTAATACTTCTGATGTTGCCCATTTGGAATTAATGGCATCAAGACAAACTACAATGTAAAGTAATTGGGGTACTTCATAAGGGGAATAATAGTTAGATGGGAAATTGTATGAGGAGAAGGGATCAGCAAAATTTATACAGAAATAACATGTACTAATCTTATGGCTTTGATACCAAATGGTAGAACTCAAGATAGGTTGGAAGAACTAGGAAATTAAAATCTTCATTGAATTATGGAATCAGGATCTAACAACATAAAATAATAAAGATGAAGGAAAAGATTTATCACAATATGAGTAAAAATCGTGAACTCATAACTAATAAAGCCCAAGGAGAAATGGAGAATCTCCAATGATAAATGTTGAAATTAATTCTGAATGGCTTTACAAATATAAGCCTCAATATATATAAAAGCCAAATTACTAAACATCCCTGGAATTTAGACTCACTAACACATTACTTAGTTACTATTCCTAGAACTAAGACCCAATTTATTTACTACGTAGCAACTAAAACTATTTAAAATAAAACATTTGACCCAATAAACAAATGACCCTAAGTGACTTTACAAATGACCTAATGAATAAATGACCCAGAACTTCACCTAACCTTACTAACTTGTCCTAATTTTTTCCATATGATACACTCATAGTTGTCACGGCGCCAGTTTACCGCCATGACACCTAGGTGACTAGTACATGAATTAGACAAAGTTTAGCATCCATATGAAAGAAAATAGAGTTCATTGCACCAATACCCCCTATGGTTTGGTAAATGTGCAGTGTTACCCCCATGGTTTCAAAACTTACACCGTTGCCCCTCGTGATTCCGATATTGCTACGCTAATGCCCCTTTGGACAAAAATATCCTTCAAATATTAGGTGAATAACTACACTGTCCCCTATGGTTTTGGAAATGGGCTCCAACACCCCCTCTCTTTTTTCTCTATTGTTTTCTTTTTTCTTTTTTCATAAAGAGAAGAAAAATGTTCGTGTGTGAAATAATGAAAAAATATTTTTTCAAATCTACATTTTAAAAAAAAATTAAAAAATAAAAAAATTTATTTGTGTTTTAAATAAAAAAAATGAAATAAAAAATTTAACACATACTTCATTTGTCAAATTAAATATTCTCTATTTTTGTCCAAAAAAGTTTTTATCTTTTTGAATATGTCAGGACCAAAAAAAATCCTGAGTAACATCTTTTGAATATATAGTTGATTATATATTAAGAACATTTTTTGGACCAATGCGCAAAAGATTTTCTTCATGACTTAACTTTCCCTATTCTATAAGAGTATTTTTGTTTCATATACTTTCCTTTTTCTTTATTTTCTTTTCTATTTTTTTTCTTTTATTTTTATTTTGATTAAAATAAAAGAAACACTATAAAATTAATGAATAGAAAATGAGAAATGAGCTTTAGTAAAAAAAAGAGAATATTTCATTGATTTTTGTATCATGCAAATGAACCAATAAAGACATCTTTTGGACAAAAAATGAAAATGTTTAATTTGAGACAAATGGAGTATACGTAAGTTCTTGTTATTTAATTGATTTTTATTGCAAACACAAAAAAATTTGATTATTAAAACATTATAAAAAAAATAATTTTAAAAAAGAAATTAAAAAAATTTTGAAAAAAAAAGTTGAAAAAGAAAAACAATAAAGAAAAGAGGGGGTGTTTGTGCCAATTTCCAAAAGCATAGGGGCTAGTGGAGTTTTTCACTAAATATTTGAAGGTTATTTTAGTATAGAGGTGCATTAGCGTAGCAGTATCAAAACCATGAGGGGCAACAACATAAGTTTCGAAACCATATGAGGTAACAGTGCACATTTACCAAAGCACAGGGCCATGATGCAATAAACTCAAAGAAAATATGTAACAACAAAGTCTTAAAAGTCCTCAAGAAAGTTAGAATCAAAAACATCATTGCTCGCATTGTCACAACCATGATGAGGAGTATGTGGTTCTTATCTAAAGTCATCTTCCACATTTTCTTCATCATGTGGATTACATAGATAAATTGAAGAAAAAAACATTACCGACTTGGATTGGAAATAAATTAATCATTAAGCATTTTCATTAAAAAATTAAACACTGAAGAGAGGTACTTCAAATGAAATATGGGAAAAAATACTTACTACAAAATACAAAGAAATAGATTACAAAGATAAATTGAAAAAAAAACATTAAATCGGTAATAAAGTTATTATAAAACATTTTAAAAAAATAAGGAACTATATGGGTTGATTGGATTGGAAGTGTTTTAAGGTGGATGGAAAGCTAATTACTTTGTATATACCATTTCAAAAAAAGTGAGATATGCAATAGATGACCAAAAGAGAGAGATGCAAACTATTGTGGTTAGAAACTTGCAACTTATTAGGGTTGTGACCTGCAATCAAAAACCAGAGGGGAGAGAAGCAAACTATGATGACTTTCTATATTCCCAATGTCTAGTCGTCCACGGTGCTGCGCCAAGACGCCATGTCATAAGAAAACTGCTGTAGGTGAGGAAGGGGAAATTAGACGAGTTGATCCACCATGGTGAGAGTAGCAGGGCGCTGGGGTGCCAAGTTGAAGCTTAGGCAATGTCGTTACAACAATGGATACACTTGAATATAAAATATAAAATGATAAAAACTTTTTTATAAAGCTAATTTCTTCTTACTCCATTTGAATATATATTGCTTCCTTTTATAATAATTTCTTGGATACATCATTTAAATGTTTGTTTAATCTTTTTAGCATTTTCATATACTTACAGGTTGTATTTTCTCTATAATAATTTGATATTAATCTCAAAAACTAAATATAGATGCAAAAGAGATTATAACTATCTTATACTTGCTAAAAGTTAATATTCCCTCTCTCCAAAAATAAACTCCCCACTCTTATTTTTGGGTTGTCCCAAAACAAACTTTTTATTTCCAAAGGGGGTAAGTTTTTTTATAACTGTTCCCCTAACTCCACCTTATTTGTTAAAGTTTTTTGTTCCTATAACATTGTGAAAAAAGTGTATGGGAAATTTTATTTGGAATAAAGGAATTACTCCGTATTATTTAATTTTTAGTCTAAGGATTAAAATTTCAATAACATGTAAATGCATACAAGATTACAAGTGCAAATAAACCAGACAAATTATAATTTATATTTTACATTCAAAAATAGGGTTTCGGAGGCAAGATGTACACAAACTTATCTCTACCACGACCAATAGAGAGTGTCTTAGAGGGGACCCCAACAATCAGATTTGTGTACAAGCGAAAAAAAATCATATAGGATAAAATGCTAAGTAATCAACATACCTGCCAGTATTTGGAAACACATCGGTCAATACAACTATTTTCACCCATGTTCAACTCAGATTCTTTGTATCTGAAGAAATTCAAGAACAACTTCCCAATATAATCATGAAGCGCAGTGATAAGGCAAGTAAAATGTATCAATGGAAACATACTTGTTCTCCACGCACTTTTTGAAACATGTATGGGTCAGCCTGAAAGAAAGTGAATGATGAATAGAGGGATTAAAATAACTATGGGTTACAAGAGCATTTTCAGATCACAAAAAGGAAAAGAAAACAATTCATAAAATAACATGAAAAGAATAAAAAAAGACAGCTGCATCATTGTTTTTCAACAAAAACATCAGAAAAGTATACGACCACATCAAAGCATGAGTTATGACTTAGGTTATATTCTATTTGCAAAACTTATCATATAAGGGATCCAACATATCATAAACCATGTATCAAATTATCAACATATACTAGCTTTATTTTTCTACACCTCAAATATTTAGCACACCATAATATAATCGTGTTTCCTAAATATTCCAACACATGGTCCAAAATTACTACAGAAAAAAAGGGAAGACAAATAACAATTCATGAATAGTAACTCGTTTGCAGCATGCTTTCTACACATAATCTGGAGAAAATAAAATTAATCACAAAAATCTATGACAGTCCTCCTCCCCACATGTATCATATGTCATGGCCACACTTTAGAAGGAGAATAGGAAGAAAATGAGATTTATTCTTGAATTAATTAGTAAAATGTTTCAAATTAGCTTTTGTTTAATACTCCATCTGTCCCACTATTTTTGTCCCTTTTTACCTTTTTCTCTGTTCCACTATTTGTCTCATATCACATTTGATCATATTTGTGTAGTTCACGTTCATACTTACTATATCTTACTTTGTAAAATCAATGTTGGCCATACAAACTTACTTTTCATAATTTCCGTGTCACCCCCTCATGTCGCAACAATAGTGGGACACTAGAAGTAATAAAGAGTCCATGGCGTATTAAAAATTGTTATGGCCTGAATTTACTATGTAAATTCGTGTAGAGTGGTCTTATTTCTAGTCATTATAATGATTGGAATGAATACCTATAAATATGTTTTCCTTGGATCAATTAATGCAAAAGTTGATGTTTGAAAGAAATTAGGTTTCTTAGTAAAATTCTTTTGAGTAGTGTGATTCTATTCACACTTACTTCCTAAATAATATCTCTATCATGTGGCATATTAGAGTGCAATTAGAAGTTTTATTAGGACTCCTTATCTTTTATGTGACTCTTGACATATCTAATTAGATAAAATCCCTTATTAATGGATTTTATCTATTAAAGGCCTTCTTGGTTATTTTCGAATAACAATTTCTTTTCTAATGGTTTTGCTAAGAAGCAATCTCTCACAATAGGAGAAAAACAATGTTCTTATCTCCGAAATAGGAGGGACATATCAATATCCTCAAAATAGGACTATTGCATTGTTATAATGTACCACTGTATATTTGCATTCCACAGTGTTTTTATTATTATATGTTGGCATTATAGGTCCATTTTAGGATAAAAACATGAAGGTTTTCTTTTGGTTTTTTTCTAATGTTTTACTCTTATTTTAGTCTTTCTCTATCACTAAGACCCCTTTGCACGAGTCTCAATCGGCTATAATTCCAAAAGAAGAAAGTGTTAAATCTGTTATTATCCATGAGAGTTTGTTTAAAAATTAAAAATCACATTGTACTCAGGGACCAGATACAGAGCGAGCCATTAAAATGTGTCCTTTCTGGGATTTCAAATTATACCAAAATGCTGTAAAATACTTACTTGTTGAACAACTCTACCCTGTACTCCATCTCTCTCTCGGCCATCACATATAACTGTACCCATTAATAAAAACAAAAACATCATACGCTATGCAATTCCGCCTCCATATTAATCAAAGTAATGAATGGAAACTTCTAATTCATCCAGATTATAATCAGCTGATTACTAAACATAGTGATAATTGAAGGTGATATGCTGCAGATTTAAATTAGAAAGCGCACCTGCTCTTTTTCTGAGGCAGAAGGGGATTTTGAAGTAGCCATTGCGCCTTTTAGAGCGGGGAGTGTTCCCAGAGTTGTCTAAGGGAAATGTGGATAGTTTATTTGTTGGTATTTTATGTATGTCATCAGAATCAGAAAAACCCTAACAAACATACGGAGTAGAAGAAGGGGCGATGTGGACCACTAACTCCATCGAGGAGCCAGGGAAGACTTCATGGGAGGCAAACAAATAACAATGCACACAATAAGCACTATCCTTGGCAACACTATACTCCAACCACTTAAACTTATCAAACCAATAACTTTGAAAGCGTCTTTTGTTCTTGCCCGTCACACTTTGTGGAAATTTATCCATCGATGGCTTACAAGGACCTTTTCCTAAGTATCTTCTCCTTATTACATCTCTAATTTCCAATGAAAAACTATTAATTGGTTTTCGTAATCCCGGATCAGCAATAATATCATCATTTGAAACCACACTTTCTTTCTCTATAGAAGAAGAAGCTTCTTTTTCATTGTCTCTATCACTTACAAATTCTAAATTCTTCTTTTGTCTAATAACAAATTTATCCATCTCATGTCTCAAAATTTCCTGATTCAATAATAAAGTAACAAAATAAAATTTCAATAACCTTAAAACAACAATTTCATATTTATTAATCTATAGAAATTGAAATTACATTAAGATATATCAAATATTTAAATATCAACAAACCCACTAGAAACACGGAACAAAATAAATATTCAAAATTCAAAACATAATTTAGCAATATTCAAAAATTTCAAATATTAAGAAACATATCTCAAAATTAGATAATTAAAATTTACATATACCTAGACAATGAGAGATTGAGAGAGGATCGGAAGTTTGGATGAAGAAGCACAGCCTATTGCGCCACTGCGTTTGGATTTCTTCTCAGAATCTCAGGGGATTGCTTTCGCCGACAGTGGAACTGTGGAAGAATTGAACAAATGCCTTCGCCGTTTCTGACTTTCTGCTATGCCTAAATCCTAATCCGCCACTCTTTTTTTAGGACAATTGGCCATTTCTGCAATTGGGCTGTTGGGCCGAGTATTTGGCAGGGTGAAATAAAATTTTTTTAAACCCATTAGTGAAACGACGTCGTTTTCCTTTTTTTTTTTGCGGCGGCTGCTTTTCTTCTTATCTTCTTCGATCGGGACTGCTGGAGCATCCGAGCTAGGGCTGGACACGGTACCGGTTCGGTACCGTCACCGGAAAAGGAACTTCCGGTACCGAGCACCGTGACGAATACCGGGACGGATTAACGGTTCCGAGAACCGGCACCGGTACCGCCACATCCGGTCTCGGTTCCGGTGCCCCAAAATCGTTACCGGCACCGCCGGTACCGGTGCCGGTTCCGGTACCGGTTATTTTTTTTTCTCCTTTTTGCTCTAATGCTCTCCAACGGAAACCTGCAAAAAAAACAAAGTTA